AAAAAAAAAAGAGAAGAGGATAGAGAAAGATAGCAAGTGAACAATAGAGGGGATGTTAGTGAGAAACAGATATGGTTTATTATCTGTTGAAGATGACGTGTATAGTATTCTCAACTGGACTGGTCTGGGAAGTATTTCATGATGGGTGAAGTCTTTTAACAAGCAAAATGAGAAATAGTGATTGACTGTTTTAAAAAATTATAATAATAATAATTATTGGGAAATGCATGGAAAAGACTTTGAATGATAAAGCGGGGAGATCGATGCCTCTGTATTGACTGACATGCATGGCATTCCCTTTTAAAAAAGCAGTGGAAGTCAATGTAAAGTTATATGTAATCCAATGTAATATAAAGAAGATTATGATAATAATTAAAAAAAAAAGAAAGAAAATAGTAACATGGTAGTCTGAGTGATTTATTACCCTTTTCTTTGTGGGGTCACTAGACCATAGCATTCTATGCTTCTTGTCAGAATAAGGTTACTGAATTGAATTGAAACTGTTGTCCTTAGCTACAGTTACTTTGAATCCCAGTGCAGCCAGCTTTTGGCTATAAAAACTTAGTCACTGTAACTCCATCTTGGCCTTATTCTGTGTGCTCAATACTCCTGTCTCCTGCCTTATTAACAAGGAGTCATAAATTCTTTAGAGACATATAAAAAGGGTGAGTATTGTACATTAACCAGACCATATAGTAAAAACACAGAGACTTCATTAAAAAGAAAAACAGTCACTTCCTTTTGGGGCCCTGACCCTATCTACCTTTTAGTGGGGTCTAACTCCTGTCTCAGCTCTGCAGAAGACAGAAATAAGGAATTGAGAGAACTGAGACAACAGAAATCTAAAGGCCTGAGTAGCCTGGAACTACAGCAATCCTATGGTTCTACATGGTTACACTGGGTATGCATTAGATTCCTAGGGCCATCATAACAAATCAACATAAACCGGGTGACTTAAAACAACCAGAATTAATTCTCTTGAAATTCTGAGTGGTAATAGTCTGAAATCAAAATGTAGAAAGTGCATGCTCCTTCTGAATGCTCTCAGGAGGAATCCTTTCTGGCCTCTTCTGGCTTCTGGTGGCTCCCAGAAATCCTCGGTTCCCAGGAATATCAGACTTCCTTGGCGTGTAGCATTATTACACCAACCTCTGCTTCCATCTTTACATGGCTCTTTTTCTTTATTAGATCATCAGGAAAGTCATGACATACTTTTCTATGTTTTTCTATGCAAAAATTTGTCACAACTTTCCCAAGAACCCAGTATCTATCTCCTCTGAATATCCATGTGTCTCTTCTTTTTTTTAATTAATTATTTATTTTTTATATACATTCAATAACTGTGCCTCATTACAGCAGCCTCTTCTTTTCTTAAAGGAACACCAATCACTGGATTTGCTTGTTAATTGCTTCGTTAAGTCTCTGTCTAAGACTAATAGTGTGACTAAGCCCATGGGAAGAATGATTGGAGTTAGACAGCTAGAATAAACTCCTACAGGAACCCAAGGCCCAGAATTGACCCCATAGAAAGGTAACCAAAACAGAGCTAAGAAATCTGAAATGGTTCAGTGCTGGGGTATGATGAGGGTTGGGGGAGACTGCATGGCAGAGCCCAGGGACTAAGCCAGAGTCTTACTCCTGAGAACGGGTTGAAGCCAGACCCACAGAGAACTAAATACCGATGTCAAAAAGATATAATGTGGTGTTATAGATGGAATTATTTTCCACCCCAAAATTCATAAGGTGAAGCCATAGCCCCCCAACCTGACTGCATTTGGAGACAGGAGCTTTAAAGAGATAATTAGAATTAAGTGTGGTCATGGAGCCAGTAAGTGGTATAGTGGTTAAGGAGTTGGACTCCCGCATCGCCAACCACAGTTCAAGTCCTGGACCCAGGACCTTGAAACTCATGCAGGGTCCATGTGTGTGTGTATGCCCAATGTCCCAAGAGGAGAATGGAGGAGAAAGGATTGTGGTGTGGTCCTCCCTCTAGGTAGTGCTATGTTCACTATAGCAAAAAATTCCTCTAAAAAAAAAAAAGATTAAGTGTGGTCATAAGGATGATGCCCTAATCCAACAGGCTGGAGTCATAGAAGAGGAAGAGACAGCTACGTATGCACTGAGGAAAGACCACACAAGAACACGGTGAGAAGGTGGCCATCTGCAAGCCACAGAGAGAGGCCTCAGGAGAAATGAAACTTGCCAGCATCTTCATCTTAGACTTCAGCCTCCAAAACAGTGAGAAAATAAATCCTGTCATCTGAGCCACCCAGTCTGGAGTACTTGGCCATGGCAGCTCTAGTAAACTAACATCCTGCTATAATAAGCAAGGAAGAGGGCCCCACGGGCAAGATCCTGCCAAGATCATTGTGGACATTCCATTTCCACTGCTGCTTTTCTTCACTCACACTCACTTCCTACTTGGGGCCCTTCATTGTTCTAAGGGAATCCCACCTCCTTCCAGCAGTGGCTGCATGTCTTGTCTCTTGGACCCCTGAAGATGGGAGTTAGATACTGGGGCTATGTATAACAAATAGGCTCGTTATATGCGTGAGGTTTGTGCTGATTGTTCCCCTCAACCAGGGCTCATAGAATCCCTGAATTGGACCGCGAGGCTACAGGAGCTTGCCCGAAGCTTTCATTAGACTCACACAGAGAATCCTGACACTGAAAGCCTGAAAAGGCAGCTCCAACGCAGACGTCAGCTCCTCTGAGCGACGCCGAGGCCGTGTGGTTTCACCTTACGTACAGTAACGTGAAGAGCACTTTGTCAGCTCTCTCATCGTGTTTGGACGTTACATAAGTTTTCTAAATCTGCCTGACAGCTCCATCTGTTAGGTGGGGGTTGTTGTAGGTTTACTGTCCTCAGCCTTACGAGCCATAAACTATTTTGGAAATGACAGCTTCAGAAACAATAAGGGTTTGGATATCTGCCAGCAAACGTTCCCAAAACAAAGCTACACTTAAAAGACATTGTGAATTCAAGGCCTTTTATTGGTCATTTTAATTCATTTTCTTTCTTATCTAGTTATAAGAAATACAGCAGCTCTTTTAAATCATCTTAGAGATTAATAAGACATCCTCTGTCCCAACCTCAGTGGTGCAGGCAGTGGGGTACCACTCCACCATGCTGGTTCTCAGGGCAGCCTGAACACACCCGGGCAGGCCCGAGTCCTGGCTGGCTGGGAGACTTGAGAAGGACCATGGTATGGGGAGACCCTGACAAGGGCACCTATTTCTCTCATGAAAGAAATAAATAACATAAATAAACTTTTAAAGAAAAAGACATTCCATAAAACTGACAGTCAATATTCTCAAGCTTTGCCACCTACAAATGAATTCTCTAGATACATATGACAGTCTTCAAGAAGCACATGGAAATGGGTATTATGAAAAGATTATGCACCAAAATAAATGAATATTTTAACCCCATCTTTCCTTTTTAGAGAGAGATTTTTGCAGGGTGCATGTGCTCACAGAGAGACAGAAAGCAAGAAATCATCCTACACCCCCCCAAGGTGGGAAGGTCATACCATAATCCCTTCACCTCCATTTCCTCTCAGAATCTTGGTCACACATATGCACACACACCCTCAATGAGAATTTCAAGTTCCAGGTCCAGAACTCGAGCCACAGTTGACCATGTGGGAGTTCAGAGACAACCATCACGCCATCTGCAGGTCCCTTAACCCCCTTTTCCCTGAGCTATTTGAGTCCCATCATATTTACAATTAAGAGATTAATCTGGTTTGCTTTTACCAACTTATTTTTTATAACACAGATTTCTATAAAAATGTTTATCTTGATCTTATCATAGAAACATAAAATATCAATTTAGTGTTAGAAAAAAATATTTGGTTGGTCCTATCTTTTTACCACAACCCTCTAGCTGAACTCTCCCTGTGTGCTCATTGAATTGATGCAATTTACCTGAAATCGGTCTCATGAAGACCTCTCAAATACAAGGGGGTAGCTAGTTAGAATAAAAAGTTACTGTTTTGGGTCCCCAAGAAACTCCCCTTTAGCCAGTTAGGACAAAATCCTCAGGAGCTCTTTTCCTACCCTCCCTGCAGAGACCCACCCTTCCCACACTCTTAGGAGACTACCGGAGAAATGGCAGCTGCATCTTACACACGCTGAGGCCAGATGTACACAGAGGCAGGGAGAAGAAAGTCCGACCCAGCCCACCCTGGCTCCCTTCCTCTGAAGAGGCTGCTCACACCCTAGACCTTGGCTACAGAAAAACACCCCATTGTCTGAGGCAAAAGGACGTCATGTCCTTTCATCCTGCACCTGGAAAGGCATTTGGAGCAAGTAATTCTGATTCTAGAGACAGACGGTTTCCAGCTGCCCCGTGCCCTGGTTTTGGTCTCCAGACAAATCACCCAATTTCCTCTGCTCCCCAATTTCCCCAACTGTAAAACAGAAATAATTTTTGTTACTTCTTCCTTGCAGAATACAGGAAATAAATAGAGCAAACGATTTTAATGTCCTTGGAGAGATTTGACTTTAAGAGCATATTTGTCCTTACTATTATAGGTGGGATTGTTGTTTGTTTTGTTTTGTCTTGTTTAACTGCTTTGTTTTGCTTTTGACTAGACTTTGACATACCTTTAGAAAATTAAATGACAACCATCCATCTAATGTGAATTGAGCATTTGCCGTATGCAAAGCACCATGCTGAGGTCCTGGAGAATTCAGCCAGGGCTCACCCTTACCTTTAAGGAGCCGACAGTTTGCTCAGAGGGAGACAAGAAGGTGAGTAACACAGAGGTGGCCATCAGCCGAGGTAGCTGTACTATGGGAATCCCACTGAACTCTGAGAAAGTAACCCGCCTTACCAAGCTTTGATTTACTAGTATCCAAAATATAAGAGTTAATATTTATAGAGTGCTATGAGGTGGGGGGCTCGGAGGGGACAGGCGTGGTCCTGTGCTGTTTACTTGCTGAAAACTCAGAATTGCCTGGGATAGATGCCGTTATATTGTTTCCATTTTTGCGTCCCACCTTACAGAGAAGGACACTGAAGTTTAAAAGGCTTATATAATTTATCCAAGGACACACAGGATACAAATCTAAGTGGCCTGGCCTCCAAGCCTGCAGCCTTCCCCAGGATACAACGCTACCCTTCAAATGGGAACAGAAGAAAACTTACCTCAGTTAGACTTGTGAGGATCAACTGATAAAATGCATAAAAAGCTGTTAGCACAGTGTCTGACACATCCTAACCGTGCAGTAAATGCAGAAGTAGCAGTAGCAGAGATCAGACACGTATATAAATAACCAGAACGCTAAGTCAAAAATAAACGCATACCTTTGTTCTAGTTCATGGAACAACTCCTTATAGACCAACCATTAAAAACAGGGAGGTTTAGCAGAGAACTATGGTGGAGGGAGAAGGGCTTAGGAACTGCGACATCTCTGAGTCACAAGGTTGCTCTGTAATATAAGAACTGACGGATCCTAGAGATGCGAATTTCTGAAGCTCAAGGAAAGGTTAAAGTATCCAAAGACCCCCTGCTATTAAAATTCAGATTGTATTCGAGAGAGCAGTTTTCAATTGAGCAATATAAAAATGCATCTGCTATAATTATTCTCCTTCCTCTCCTTAACCCATATTCCCCAATTTCCTTTAGGAAGAAAGCACAGCATGGAGTGTCTTTTCAAAGACTAAAATAAAAATCCCCCTAAAAGGGATCCTTCTTGTAAAACCTTCCAGAGCTGTTGGAAAGAAAAAAAAAATGCATAAAGAGCCAAGTGCTTATATTCTGGCCAAGTTATGAGCCTCTGAGAACAAGAGCTCGAGGGGAGGACTGTTAACCCCATCTAGCCCGCACAAGTAGCTTTTTTCTTCTTGCTCTGCACTGCTTGCAAACTTGTGGTCCTCTCACAGCTAGAGGCCAGCGTGCTGGAGAAATCCAGGAATCCGCAACACAAGGATGACAGCCTCAGTCTGAAAGACTCCCTGGTGCCAACCTCCAGATTCTCGTCTGTCGCTTCAGACTACGACTAGTTGACAGAGCAGCAAAATTTCGACTCCAATAGCCTCGAATGTGCTTCTGGGCAAAGAGGCAGAGCTGACGAGGGAAGGGATTTATTTAAAGAGTTTCTCTTGGGTATTTGTCAAACTTATTTCCTGGCTGTGTACAAAGAGGGGATTCAAGTTCAACCTTCTTCTGAGGCTCTGGGTCCAGCCACTTAACCGGAAGGTAAATTTTCATAAATTTATTGCATTGTCTAATTCCATTTGTTAAACTGCTTTGCATGATCTGATAAAGCTACCTAGTATATCTTTGTAAATAATTCAAAGCCATTTATTTACCCCCCCAAAAAATCCTTTTTTTATGATCTACAGAAAAGCTACTCAACAGGCAACTTTATCATAGGTATTCTTGTTTCCTGTTCTCTTCCAAGATTAAATACTGGTACTAATAAAGGATGCTGCTTTTATTGCTAGTAAAGACCAAGAAGAGCACAAATGCAGAACTGACCTTAGCCTAAGTAGTATTCAGATCATGATGGAGCCTGGATCTTGTGCTGTGTTTTGTAGAAAAACTTCACTACATATATAATATAAACCATAAGGAAAGTAGTGTTAAAAGCTTTCAGGTGAAATAGTAAGTTTTCCATATTTAAATTATCTAAAATTACTTACACCATAGCTCCAGTCTGTAACTAACAGCAATATAGAAAGATTTTGCTTTACCAAGGTAGGAAAACTTTTCTAATACCTTATTCTTGTTTGATTACATTGAAATTATGGTGACTGTTATCCTTTTCCAGGTTCTTTTTATGGCTTTATATTTCATCACTTCTTGCCTCCTACTAGTATTTAAGATGCACACACAGAGACCATAAAAAGTATCTAATTCCTGATGATGCTTTATTTAGAGAACCAAAAAGAGAGGAGGAGAATTAAAAAGCTAAAGAGGTTATGGGAACTCACATTATAAGGTCCTCTCATTTCTGGTTCTCCTTTTTAAAATAAAACAATATGCAAGTCATGCTGATTCCTTCCTACCAGGTATTAAAGGTCATCCTGTAGGAGAAAGCCATGCTTTCAACTGCAGATCAATATGTTGAAACTGCATACCAAGAAGCACTGCAGAAAGGGGATCTCTCCTGTACTGCCTTTAATCTGCAAAGAGGTTAAATATGTCACCTTGGCATTGTATCTGAGCTCTGTCTGGCCCGGGGCCTAAGCACACTGAATAGAAATGTTCACTCCATCCTACTCAGCAGAAATCTCTTTTTTAAATTCTCCCCTTTCTCATGAATACCAGCATTTTTTTTCAGTTCATGGTTTACTCAGTTCAACCTTGACAATTAAGACTGTTGTTAACTATGTTTATATAAAAAAAAAGGGGGGGGAAAAAGACCCCTTCCCTTGGGAAAGATTTAAGTTTGTATTTCTCTCATTCACCAAGATCTAGCAAAGCAAAGCGGTCTATTTCACCTACTTATCATCCAGTCAACAAATGCTGCTTCTACATTTTGGAAAAGGTTATGTACGTGTAACTCATGAATCTTGCCTTTTTCTTTCAGAGAATTCTTGTACAGCCGTTGAGCAATGAGAATACTGAGGTTTCATTTCCAGGTCTTTGGGGATTTAATCCCCAAGAACCTCTCTTGGCGCAGTTTCACTTATTGACTAAGTAAAAATAATAAATAATGATGACAGACATGAAGTGAGTAGTGACATATCTGGACAACTCCAAAACATTATTCATTTCATTTCCTCTTGACTGTTATTTTTACTCAGTTGACTCAAAACAGTAGTGAACATTGCTATTTTAGTTAAGTTTAGCAGAACATCCAGAACATGCTGGGAACATTTTTCCACCAAGAAAAACATAAACAACTGGTTAAAAACTTGAGGTGTGCTTTAGTCTCACATATCACTCTGAAACCAGCTTCATTGGAGAAGAAGGGGACCCCCCTCATAAGTTCAGGAGAATTTACTCAGTGGCCGAGTTCCCCAAGCAATGTCAATCAGGCCCGAGCCTGGTTCTTACAAGGCTCACAGGGCATCCTCTGTCAGCCTGTGCTGAGCTTACAATGGTAGCACCCCCTGGGGCTAGCCTGGAGTCTGTCTTAGATGTCAAAAGACAAACAGAACACAGGAAAACAGAGTGTGTGGTTTTTACTGATTGCAGTAAAGGCAAGGAGATAGTCTAATATAATGAGTAAGACCAGGAGTTCTGGTCTATAGCTAACCATGTAGACCTGGTTTACATAAAACCGATAGACCTAATTTACATAATGCCACATAGACCTGGTTTATATCCCATCTTTACCCCTAAATACCTCTGTGACCTTGGGCAGTGACTTAACCTTCTTGTATCTTCTCTCCTCAATGGTGAATGGGGCTCATAAACTAGTAGCTATCTGAGAAATTGGCTGGAAGAAAACAGGTCTGCCTGGTGCCTATTCAACAGTCAGTCAATTCTAGCTAAGGGCCAAGTACTGGCTCACTTACATGGCCCTACGGAAACTCCATAGACAAGGAATTGACTCAAGGTTTACCTCAGGGGTTCCACCTCCTGCTTACCCATTTTGGTCTATAATATAATGCCAAAGCCAAGCCTATTCCTCTGAGTCAGCACAGCAGAGCGGGCAGAGCATGGGCCTCAGAGGCTGATGCCCCTAGGCGGGAATCCCGTTCCTGCCCCTTACAAGCTATCTGAGTTGGGCAGTCACTTCACACCAGGACTCCACTTACCCACCTGCTCCACAAAATGACAGCAATGACATCCATGAATGTCATTGTTGTAGGAATCAAGCATGATGCTTATTCAAGGCCATGTAGAGCACCTGGTAAAGTATTGGACATATGAGAAATTTTACTAGTTGCTGATAAAAAATCTCATACCTCCAGTGAGGTATCTGGTAGGCACTTGGAATAATTTTTCTGGCAGTGAAATTGGGGATCCCAGTAGAAATATTCTTTGAGTTGTCTTTTTTTAAAACCCAAATAAATGTAAAACTAAATATGACGCTACTGTATTCCCCTGGGGGAAGCAATATGACACTACCATTCACCTTAATCTGAGACATTTATTGCCACGAGCCCTTACTGCTTCGCCAACTGTAGCTTCCTAATGGCCAAGTCCAACGAAACCAGAGTGTTCTGTTTCAGCCTGCTATTCCACAGAGGCACAAGTGGTGCCACTTTCCAGTCCATTCTGATACATTGGCCTACTTGGACAAGGGGAAGGCCTCCAACACTTTTTTCTTTCTTATCTTTTCTAAAGGCAAGAATAGGGGTTTTGACTTGCACTGGGGGGATTTTTTTTTTCCCCTCTCCAGCTGAAATGCCAACAAAAGGGTTGTTTTGTTTTTTTGTCTTTGTGTTTTGTTTTTGTTAACCTCTCGCCTATGTTCCTAGCATTGAAATGTCAGCTGTTTTTTCTGGCTGCAAGTAGCCGGAGACGCCAGTCGTCATAGCAATGAAAGGGTATAGAGAGACTGGGCCTCACGGCCCACTCTGTGGAGTCGCTCTCAGTCTGCTCTAAAACCCCTTCCTTAGACATGAAGTCTCCAGTCCTGGCTGCCTTCCTTCCTGTTATGTAACCAACTGCTGTACACCAACTGCGTAGCAAAACATTTTCTTTAACAATTCAGGGGACAGGTATTAAGCAAATGAAAAAGAAAGCTACCGAAAACAATGGCCAGTTGGCAGTGGGATGCAGGAGGGAAACAACTGGGAAGACGAAGGAGGAGAAACGATGGTGGCTTCCCTGACTCGATCACATGTGTGGCACAGCCCACAGGGAGCCCTTTTCCAGGTCCCACCGCTTCCTTGCATCTTCACGATGCAAGAGCCACAGGCAGTAGTTACCAGCGGAATTCTGGGGCAGGCTGGCGGGACTCGCATCCTGGCCCTGCTACCCTCTAGTTTGTTCAGTCTTATGACCTTTGTGCCTCTGCCTGCTCATCTGTAAAACAGAAGTTATAATGACAGTCATGGGAACTGAGCGAGAGCCTGCACCAGGCCTGTGTTACAGGATCCAATGGAAACAGCTGGCTGCTGTGCTGGAAAGCAGCAAGTTCCCCCACTGGTTAAATGGGGACAACTGTTAATTCATAAAACTGTCATATGACTGACTAAAATAACAGATGAGGGTTGCAATAAGTAGTTGTTTTACTCTAATTCTTCTCATGGTGAGGCCTAACTCTGATAGGAGTGGCCTCTTTGAACTTGGAAGCTCCCCATGGGTAAGTTGTCATGAATAGAAGCCTGGAAATGATCATTGCATTAATGTGAATCATAGCATTTTTAAAGAAGAAAAAGAAGTGATTATTTTTTCTATACATTTGTAAAGAGTAGAGAAGACCCTTTGCATCTTGATTAATACTAGGGCCAAAGGTGCTGAAACATCATCCTTCCTTAAAAGGCTTCTTATTAAAGTTTCTGTTTTAGTTTCTCCAGCGTTTTCTAGGTCAAGCAATTATGTAAATAAGTAATATTTTTATCTTCTGTCTCCGACAGCTCCTGTATTCAGTGTCCTGTACCATGTGAGATGCTGGAGATGCATCAGGGAGCACAGTTAGAGAGGGGCTGTGATTTTGAGCAGCTTACAGGGCAGTTAGAGAGAGGGTCAGAAATCAAATCATTACATTAGTGAAAACTGCATATACCTACCTATAAGGTGACCTACAGCACAAAGTAATATTAATTTTTCTAATAAAGAAAATCCTCCAGCCAAAGGTTATAACTAACTTAAACGTACAAATAAATAATATTTTATAATATATACTCAGGCGGGGCCAGCAAGTGGCATGACGGTTGGGGCACTGGACTACCACATGGCCAACCGTGGTCTGAGTCCCAGACCTACTGGCTTGCTTGCTCACTTTCCCTTTCTCTCTCTCTCTTTATGGTCTGATTAAAAATAATAAGTATAATAATAACAAATAAAATTAAGCAAATAATTATTTTTATATGTATAACTAGGTTATTTAATCTACTGTTACACATACATATTGAAAGCTTTGTTTTACTTTAAATATTTTATACTTACGAAAGTTATTTTCTCCTCTCTCATTTTTTGTGAGACAGTTATGTTAAAATTTGTCATGTGCACCTTTCACATCAGTGTGTGTGTTCTCTGGATCCACGCTGTGATTATCCAAACAGCGGCCATCATCAGTCTTTCTGCAAATTGTTTATAACACGCTTATAAAAATCTGCAGACACTGCACATTT